CACAGGATTACACTTCAAATACATAGTTCCTAAAAACATCATCAACAGCAGCAAGTAACGACTGGAGATAAACTAAACTCACAATAATCAACAAATAACAAATACATTCACAATTTTATGAGAATTAAAAACCATATTTTCAGAATAGTCACAGCCTTACTATTAATTTACACCTGGAATTTTGCATGCATGTGATGTTGGGGTACAACTTTGGATCATGGTTTTGCATATTGCAAAATGTTTGCATTTGAAAGTGGATCTAACCATTCAACTTATTTGTAAATAACATTTTGCAACTGAAAATCTGAGTTCTACAGCCTCCAGTCATTTGCTCACAGAAAATTGAGGGAGCTAGCAAGTAAAAAATTGTTTTATTGATGTAGAAGCCACACTATTTGGGAATCCTTTCTCCATCATGGATCAGTATAGAACCCTGTAATGAACACATATTAAAGTGCTTTCAAATTGACTGATTGGAAAAGTTGACTAATTAATATAATTGATCCAAACTATAGTCTTTAATGTACCCTGCAACAGAACGTACTCTGCCCCCACCTTCCCCCCCCCAAATAAAAGGACACAAACTGCAAATCAAAAATAAACATAATTTCTTTGAACTTTTTTTTCCCATTAATACAATGATCATATAAGATGGAACCAGGATGGCTAAAATTCAGAGGATATTCTAAAATATACCTTTTAGAGAAAAGAGTAAGCTTTTTAACAAATCAATGCAAATTTTTTTTCAGATAGCATTCCAGGAATGATAGTTTTCACAAAAGGCATGTTAAGAGCAGAAAAAAAAAACCTTGCAACATTAAACATAGCATTTCTGACATTTTAAATGTAATCCTTCTGCCCATCTAAGTTGGCAGCAACAAGGGCTGGGTTCTGTATCTAGGGGTTCCGTTTCAATAACGCAATGCAACACAGGCTCGAGCCCCCACCCAGTGATCTGGGACAATTACAAACCACCCCCTGGGCGCCTCTAAGAGGCAATACTTCCCCTCTCGCAAGCACGGAGTCTGAGTGTAGCAGAAAATGTTTAATAACATGAGGTAAACGACATCAGCATTAAATTGGAAAAACACCACAAACAGGATTCATAACACAAATCATGAGCAAAAGACCCACCCTAGCAAATTGGGCTGTGTCCTTTCCCTTTGGTTCTTGAATCCAGCAACCCAAAAATCACCCAGAGTCCCCAAAGTCCAACACCCCCAAAGTCTCTTGGGTCCAGCAACCACCCAAAGTCCCAAAAGTCCAACAGCCCCCAAAGTCTCAGTCCCTGGTCAGTGCAGCCCCAGAGTAAAAGGGGGGCACTCAGGGTGTTAAGGGGCACCTTACGTGATCCAAGGCCGTCTGGCCGTCTCTCCGTGGGGCTCTGCCTCAGCCTTCACCACGAGCCAGTCCACCTCCTGCCGTCCTAAGAACTGCTCTGCTCTACGAGCTGCTCTGCTCACCAACCTGTGAGCTGCTCCAGCCGTCCCCGCAAACAGCTCCGCTCACCGTTCCTTGGGCCGCTACAACCGTCTCCGCAAGGCTCCGTGCCGCTTGCTACTCCTCCAGCCATCCCCGCAAACTGCTCCGCCAGCTGCTTAGCAATATAGCTTTAGGCTCCCCCACTAGTTAACACAGCACTCAGTGATCTCAGCTCTTAATAACTTTACCTCTTTTGTGATTCCAGCTTATAGTAGGGGAGCCCCAGTGCTGGTGCACCATTGGCCCAAAGTGAATTCAGCTCAGCAGTCTGTAACTAGACTCCTAATGGAATCAAAGTTAGCTCTGACATTCAACAGTGGAGAGAAAAAGTAGTGGAATTGGTGTTTCAAGCCCTCAAAGGGGGGCCATGCCATCAGGTACAAATACCTGTACCCATCCTCTCTCAATTCACTGGGTTGTGGAACCCATGTCCCTTGTCTAGCAAATGCTACTTAGGTGATGGTGAGACACTCTGTCATAAAACAGTTTCATTGTCCTTGATTCACATAATCAGGGTAACAACACTTTATTCCTCCTGCCCCAATAACAGAGAAACTGGGGATCCCACCCCATCCAAAGTATCCACTATCAGTTGCTGTTGTCTCATGTCAGGCGAGGGGTGTGCCTATGCAAACAAGATCAGCCCCTGGAGTTCTTTTCCACACTCACCATAATTCACCACCAGATGTCAGGGTAGAGCTCATCCTGACTCTGCTTACATAAATAAAAAATATAATAACTGAAAATACTGAAAAATCAAAATGGTGATGATTATTTTATTTGTTTATGTTTATAGAAAGGCTAAGGTCAACACCTAGCTGCATGTTCTAGGAACCTACTATAAATCCCCTGTCCCTTCAGACAATTCTCTCCAATTTTCATATGTCTGGGCGAAAAATAATCCTGGCTTAATGTCCTGAAGGTCAATAGAATTTAGGCCAAAATCTTCTAACTTGTCCATTCATGTGGATCCTTACTGGAGATTAATCAAGCTCCACACAGGTATAGGAGTTCACCTGCACAGAACAGCTTGCAGGATTGGGGCCTTAGTTTTCCTGTGGTGTAGGATGCATCTGTTCTGTTCTCAGATGCACTCTTTGTCACCACTTATGCACATGCTTAACTTTACTTACAATTAGTCCTACTGTTCCATGTGTGGCTATTCATGTGCATGAAGTTAAACTCATGGGTAAGTGTTTGCAAAATGACCAGATTACATCCTCTTTTTTCAGGTACAGTAGAGTCATACAAAATTTTCCAATCTATCTTTTGTTTTAAAGAAATATAGTTGTGTTGGCAACTGGAATTAAATGTATTAATTTCCCTTGGATGGTGATACATGAGCAGAATATTTGTGATTTTTAGCTTTGTTTTGGAACTAAAACTTACAAAGTATAATAGCTAGAAAATGTTAGGGTATAAACATAAATGGAGTACTGGAGAGATGATTTGTTTTAAGGATTTCTTCCACTTAAGAAAAAGTGGCCAGTTATTAACTTTGCTTCATTTTCCTCATAGAAAACCCTCACAGCTAAAATGACAAAGCTGGCATTCTGGTTTTCAGATGTACAGTTTTGTTTTCTCATGGATGGCACAACGCAGCCCCAGAAATGCTGAGTGCCTTCTATTACTATTGAAGTAAATGAAATCTTTGCAAAATGTGCTCAGCACCACGCAAGATTGCTCCATCAGAAAAGGCCCATTCTTTTTATCCTTTGCTGGGCTCTCGTCTCTTCATTTGGACTAATGCGAAGAGTTAAGCATGTGTATAAATGCTGACAGGATCAAAACTGGGGGAGGGGTGCTTGGCTCTGAAGAGAATACAGCATGGAGCATTTTTGCAAAACCATTAAGACTGAGAATCGCCAGTTATATCAGGTCCCTGCTCAGAATCCCGAGGAGTCATATGAAAAGCCTGTCTCCTCATGCTGCTTCCTGGCCTTCTGTTCTGCATGGCAACAAGCTTCATTGCCATTAGTTTCCCCAATATGGCTATGGCAATGAAGGTCTCTGGGTCACAAAAGGGGAAGATATTGTCAATAGGGCCAGCAATAATTTTCACATTAGTTTCTACCCAAACATCCATGGAATCCTGACAGGATGCTACAATATCTAGCAGCTATTCTCAGTTTGTTCTCCTTCGGACCAACACTTCCCATTATCCACAGAGCAGTAACCCTGCAGGCATTCATACTGAAGGGTATCCTCTGTCTTAGAGGGATGGGGAAGCATGGGATATAAACCATTGCTCCTTTCCATTGTGGTATTTGGGCCCCTTCTGCTCCTTTGCTCCCCTTCATGCCACACTGCAATGAGAAACTTCTGGATCATTATTCTTAAAACAATACTTGGTAAAAACACAATTAAAACTTTTTTTCAGCTCTCCCCAACATATTTGAAGTGATGACTCATGTTTAGTTACCTAATTGGCCAATAACTGTATAGAATCTTAATGACGCACAGAAGCGACAAAGAATGTCTCATATTACTTCTGTGCAATAGCTGTCATTCTGGATATATTGAGAGACAAAGGGATATTTATGGTTTAGTTTGCCAAATACATTTCCAATGTGCATAACACCGTAATAATTAAATAACCTACTATATATAGAGTAGTGCCACCTATGTTTATGCCATATAAATTAAAGATATGCTAAATTTTCTTCTAAATAGCTCAAAAAGATTCTTGCTACTTTTATTGATAATATTAAACATTAAGAAAAGATTTTAAAGAGATTCAGTTCAGTTTACTATGAATCAATATATATTTACTGTTTTTTGCTTTCTTCCTTCTAAAATGCATGAATAGCATTCCACACGACAAAACAGTTATCTAGCTGCATTCAGTTATTTTTAATTCTGCCATCTTGATTGATGAAACCTAGTTAACACCAGATCTGTCAGGAAATATGCCCTAATATTTCACATTTAGAATTTACACTTTTAAGAATATTTATTTTTAAGACATGAACTATAACTAAGGTAGCTCTGGGAAAAACCACTAGAGACAAAACCAACAGAGGTATAAATGATATTCCTACCAAAAGGTTTGCTTCAGAGAATTAGTACCAAGGAAAAAAGCCTAGCCCTAAATGCCCTTCCTGTTGGCAAATGAGGTTAAAAAAAGAAAAGAAAAAGAAATCATTCACACTTCTAGTTTTCCTATTTTATGACCTTTAAAAAAAATGCAAACAAAACCATGCAACAATTTATAATTGAATGTAAAAAATCAGGTTTAGCATATCATTCTGATTTTTTATAGACAGAAATATAATACACATGCAGATTTTGTTTTAGATTTGTCAAAGTCTGATAAATGTAGTTGGCACACAGTCTACCGCTTATTGTGATTTTTTTTTATCACCTCCAGTTATATTCTTGATATCGTAAATGTAGACAGCTCCACTGCAGGATACTGACATTCAGTTTAAGCAGTTACAGAAAATGTCTTGATTTTTCAAATCAGCTTTATTTATTTATCTAAACACAAAGTATAAAAGATTCCAAGACTGCCTTACCTATATGAAGAGAAGGTGGAAATCACAGACATTACCTCGCTAAAAACTTTGGCCACAAAAACAAAACAAAACCCCCCCAAAAATCACTCAGTCCCAGTTAGTTTCTGCTAGCATAAAAGTTCAGATTTCGTTGCTGAGATCACTGCTCTATTCTAAGCAGTTATGCTCAATGTGTGATTCTAACAAAAACACCCTCTGCAGCTGGAGGGAGCCTTAACTAAGCAGAATTCTGTCAAGCTTTTCCCAGTGACTTCTGTCTACTAAATTCAGACTGATGTTTTGTGAAAGGGGCCTCAACAACCAGGCCCAGATTGCCTGAAAAGTATTTCCTGCCTTTGAATAGTATGCATATGTGAAAGAAGGACTGCATGGGGGGGGGCAGGGGGTAGGGAAATAAAAAGACGACAAGACTGAACATTTCAAGTCATTTGAGTTAGCCAACTCGACTGAGACAACTCTGTCAAACTATTAAAAGATTTATGATGCACTTAGAGAATTTAGAAGTATTTTCCATTCCACAATGGTTTATGAAAAATGTATTCTGTAACTGAAACATACATATGCGACTCCACGATTGTCCCTAAACTTAGGAGAACATCTTTGAATGTTTCAGATCTTTGGGATTCAGAGCAAGAAATGGGCAAAAAGCAGGCTGGCTTTTACAAAGCTTCTAGTGCAATTTTGACTGTTAAAACCACAGAATTAAATAGATAAAAATCTATACATGTAAACTGCAAACACATTTCTACCAATTAAATTAGTTTGAATCACGAGAAATGAATGATTGTCATTACAGTTTAAAAGTAGTTATAGCACAAGCAATGGCATATTCCGCTTTACCTCTACTGGGAATCCTCCAGAGTCACACAAATCCAGCTCTGCAAAAGCACAAGGACAGACTCCATCTTGATCATATTAGCATTTTGCTGACATAAAACACTTGTAACTATTTCTTTCCAGTTTGATAGGGTGCCTGAATCACATCTCTAGAGAAACCCACAGCATCTACAGCCTTCGTTCTATACAAATTTTGTGAAACTATCATCTGTTTATCTTTCCTGCTTTCTTCTGCGTCCTCTGAATGATTTCCTCTTAGTTGCTCCAGCCTGGGAACTTGGATTACCATTTGGTTTTGATTAAAACCAGACAGACAGCTCTGTAGAAGTTGGAGAGCAAGCTAATGGAAATCACTAGTATGGCTTTAATTAATGTATCAATTAATAATAAATGTTAACTATTCATATTACAAATGCTACACACACACACACACACACACACACACACACAACAATAGCGCTACCAACGACCGACGTAAAGGGTTAATTTTTATGTAGAAATAGTGACTAAAACTTTCCCACT